TGAAGGGATTCAGGGAAACCGGCAGGCCGGACTTGAGTCCTGGAGATGGGAAGTACAGTGCCTGCACTCTGAAGGAGGGGTGTTAATGTTGCAGTTTAAAAACTGTGTGTAAAGCACCCTTCTGGCAAGCAGTGATGGAGTGAATGAAAGGGAAAGTTTTCTTTTGGGGCCACCCTGCCTTGGTGGGAATCGCCAGTGTGATAATAAAAAATAAAAAAATATATATATATAAAAAATATATATATAAATATTTATATTATATATATATATATATATATATTATAAAAGTACATGGGACCAGTCCCCAGGGGTGCCCAGACCCATGATCACTGCTAGCGTGGGACCAGTCCCCAGGGGTGCCCAGACCCATGGTGATCACTGCTAGCGTGGGACCAGTACCCAGGGGTGCCCAGACCCATGGTGATCACTGCTAGCGTGGGACCAGTCGCCAGGGGTGCCCAGACCCATGGTGATCACTGCTAGCGTGGGGACCAGTAACCCAGGGGTGCCCAGACCCATGGTGATCACTGCTAGCGTGGGACCAGTCCCCAGGGGTGCCCAGACCCATGGTGATCACTGCTAGCGTGGGACCAGTCCCCAGGGGTGCCCAGACCCATGGTGATCACTGCTAGCGTGGGACCAGTCCCCAGGGGTGCCCAGAACCATGGTGGATTTACTGCTAGCGTGGGACCAGTACCCAGGGGTTTCCCAGACCCCCTGGTGATCACTGCTAGCGTGGGACCAGTCCCCAGGGGTGCCCAGACCCATGGTGATCACTGCTAGCGTGGGACCAGTACCCAGGGGTGCCCAGACCCATGGTGATCACTGCTAGCGTTTGGGGCCAGTACCAGGGGTGCCCAACCCATGGTGATCACTGCTAGCGTGGGAAACCCGTCCCCCGGGGTCCCAGAACACATGGTGATCACTGCTAGCGTGGGACCAGTCCCCAGGGGTGCCCAGACCCATGGTGATCACTGCTAGCGTGGGACCAGTCGCCAGGGGTGCCCAGACCCATGGTGATCACTGCTAGCGTGGGACCAGTACCCAGGGGTGCCCAGACCCATGGTGATCACTGCTAGCGTGGGACCAGTCCCCAGGGGTGCCCAGACCCATGGTGATCACTGCTAGCGTGGGACCAGTACCCAGGTGTGCCCAGACCCATGATCACTGCTAGCGTGGGACCAGTCACCAGGGGTGCCCAGACCCATGATGATCACTGCTTGCGCAGGACCAGTCGCCAGGGGTGCCCAGACCCATGGTGGGTCATGCTTTTGCGGGGGGAACAGTAAACCCCGGGGTGCCCAGACCCATGATCACTGCTAGCGTGGGACCAGTACCCAGGGGTGCCCAGACCCATGGTGATCACTGCTAGCGTAGGACCAGTACCCAGGGGTGCCCAGACCCATGATCACTGCTAGCGTGACCAGTCGTGTGGGACCAGCCCCCAGGGGTGACCAGAACCATGGTGATCACTGCTAGCGTGGGATCAGTCCCCAGGGGTGCCCAGACCCATGGTGATCATTGCTAGCGTGGGACCAGTCCCCAGGGGTGCCCAGACCCATGGTGATCACTGCCAGCGTGGGACCAGTCCCCAGGGGTGCTGAGACCCATGGTGATCCCTGCTAGCGTGGGACCAGTCCCCAGGGGTGCTGAGACCCATGGTGATCACTGCTTGCGTGGGACCAGTCCCCAGGGGTGCCCAGACCCATGATCACTGCTAGCGTGGGACCAGTCCCCAGGGGTGCTGAGACCCATGGTGATCACTGCTAGCGTGGGACCAGTCCCCAGGGGTGCTGAGACCCATGGTGATCACTGCTAGCGATGGGACCAGTCCCAGGGTGCTGAGACCCATGGTGATCACTGCTAGCGTGGGACCAGTCCCCAGGGGTGCTGAGACCCATGGTGATCACTGCTTGCGTGGGACCAGTCCCCAGGGGTGCTGAGACCCATGGTGATCACTGCTTGCGTGGGACCAGTCCCCAGGGGTGCTGAGACCCATGGTGATCACTGCTTGCGTGGGACCAGTCCCCAGGGGTGCTGAGACCCATGGTGATCACTGCTTGCGTGGGACCAGTCCCCAGGGGTGCTGAGACCATGGTGATCACTGCTTGGGTGGGACCAGTCCCCAGGGGTGCTGAAACCCATGGTGATCACTGCTTGCGTGGGACCAGTCCCCAGGGGTGCTGAGACCCATGGTGATCACTGCTTGCGTGGGACCAGTCCCCAGGGGTGCTGAGACCCATGGTGATCACTGCTAGCGTGGGGTCTTTGCTGCTGTCTGCTTGGAAATCCCTCTAATATTTCTGGGAGATCTCTGGAGGCTGCTGGAACTTTATTGGTATCTGCTGGAACCTTAGTGGCGTCTGCTGGAACCTTAGTGGCGTCTGCTGAAACTTGTAAGTCTTCACGTATTCGTGGTTACAGTGGTCGAATCCCAGCTCCCGGTCCAATCTCTTAACTGGCTGTTATATATATATATATTATATATATATATATATATATATATATATATATATTATATATATATATATATATATATATATATATTATATATATATATTATATAAAATGAATACAGCTCCTGATGAAGTATTGATTGCAACACGAAAGGCCTCACTTTATTCATTATTTTATGCATTAAATTATGCTTGCTTGATAGACTGGTCTGATACTGTTTGCCTGATAGATTTTTTGCCTGATAGGCTGTTTACCTGATAAATTGCTTGCCTAATAGTTTTTTTTTTTGCCTGATAGATTGTCTCAGACTCTGCTTCACAGACTGTTTGCTTGATAGACTAGTTGCCTGATAGACTAGTTGCCTGATAGACTAGTTGCCTGATAGACTAGTTGCCTGATAGACTAATTGCCTGATAGACTAATTGCTTGATAGACTAGTTGTCTGATAGACTAGTTGCCTGTTAGACTAGTTGCCTGATAGACTAATTACTTGATAGACTAGTTGTATGATAGACTAATTGCTTGATAGACTAGTTGCCTGATAGACTAATTGCTTGATAGACTAATTGCTTGACAGACTAGTTGTCTGATAGATTAGTTGCCTGATAGACTAGTTGCCTGTTAGACTAGTTGCCTGATAGACTAATTACTTGATAGACTAGTTGTCTGGTAGACTAATTGCTTGATAGACTAGTTGCCTGATAGACTAATTGCTTGATAGACTAATTGCTTGACAGACTAGTTGTCTGATAGATTAGTTGCCTGATAGACTAGTTGCCTGTTAGACTAGTTGCCTGATAGACTAATTGCTTGATAGACTAGTTGTCTGATAGACTAATTGCTTGATAGACTAGTTGCCTGATAGACTAATTGCTTGATAGACTAATTGCTTGACAGACTAGTTGTCTGATAGATTAGTTGCCTGATAGACTAGTTGCCTGTTAGACTAGTTGCCTGATAGACTAATTGCTTGATAGACTAGTTGTCTGATAGATTAGTTGCCTGATAGACTAGTTGCCTGTTAGACTAGTTGCCTGATAGACTAATTGCTTGATAGACTAGTTGTCTGATAGACTAGTTGTCTGATAGACTAATTGCTTGATAGACTAGTTGCCTGTTAGACTAGTTGTCTAATAGACTAATTGCTTGATAGACTAGTTGCCTGATAGACTAACACAATTACTGATAATCTTTTAGTAGTCGAAATAATTTAAAAAATAACTGAAAATAACTGTTAGTTTCTGGGTTATTTTTGTCCATTAATTAAGGGTTTAGCGCTCCGTTATGATTATTAAAAATAATTAGATGTTCTGATAGTGTGGATTATTATTTTCCAATGGGAAGCTCCTACCCCGTAGGGGCCCGGACAGCGCCTGGGGAAATAGGAAGAGCTCAGGTTTGATCCGAGGAAGGGGGAGGTATAGTAGCTCCGACTCCTTGGAACAAGAGCCCGAAAGCGACCCCCTTTTTTAGCAGTGTCGGGAGTTTAAAAACACAAAAATGACATCCAGAGTTAAAAAAACAAAACCGCGTCACCACAAGAATGTTTGATGATTTAAGGCAGAACAAAATTGTTCTCCACGTGAACGTGAACAAAAACCTCTATACGTTCCCCGTAGAGCTTTACAATGCGGTCAAAACAGTAGGAACGTGAACAAAAACCTCTATACGTTCCCCGTAGAGCCTTACAATGCGGTCAAAACAGTATGAACGTGAACAAAAAACCTCTATACGTTCCCCGTAGAGCCTTACAATGCGGTCAAAACAGTAGGAACGTGAACAAAAACCTCTATACGTTCCCCGTAGAGCCTTACAATGCGGTCAAAACAGTAGGAACGTGAACAAAAACCTCTATATGTTCCCCGTAGAGCTTTACAATGCGGTCAAAACAGTAGGAACGTGAACAAAAACATCTATATGTCCCCCGTAGAGCCTTACAATGCGGTCAAAACAGTAGGAACGTGAACAAAAACATCTATATGTCCCCCGTAGAGCCTTACAATGCGGTCAAAACAGTAGGAACGTGAACAAAAACATCTATATGTCCCCCGTAGAGCCTTACAGTGCGGTCAAAACAGTATGAACGTGAACAAAAACATCTATATGTCCCCCGTAGAGCTTTACAATGCGGTCAAAACAGTAGGAACGTGAACAAAAACATCTGTATGTCCCCCGTAGAGCCTTACAATGCGGTCAAAACAGTATGAACGTGAACAAAAACATCTGTGTCCCCCGTAGAGCCTTACAATGCGGTCAAAACAGTATGAACCTGAACAAAAACATCTATATGTCCCCCGTAGAGCTTTACAATGCGGTCAAAACAGTATGAACGTGAACAAAAACATCTGTATGTCCCCCGTAGAGCCTTACAATGCGGTCAAAACAATATATCTAGAGGAGAAAAAAATCACAATTGATTTTTTTTTTGTGATGGTCCGGTGACAGGAAGGGATGAAGAGTACAAGTATTGCTTTACATTTAATTTCAGTCCTTTCCTCCCTCTTCCCAAAATATCCACAGGATGGGTTAGAGAGACAACTTACGTCCTGGAGAGATGTCTCAACAGGGACACCATGCTCGCACTGCGATAGTCTGTAGAATAATACAATAATATGTTAGAATAAGGATAGTCTTGGGTCATGGATATTCATTACTCTGTTAACGTTTAAATCTATCTAATACACCAGGTTTGTACTTATTAAGTTCTATCAACTGCACAAGGGTCATTAAGGCTGTGTGTCACATGTATGTACACTACAAGACAAGGTAGTATATATATATATATATATATATATTATATATATATATATATATATATATATATATATATATATATATATATATATATATATATATAATATCAATAACAACACTGCGACTAGCCAAGGACTCGAACCCATGCTGCTTTGGTCTGCCTCATGGTGGGTGAAAACTCATGACGCCTTAATCCAAGGGAACACACAATCCTTAAGAGTAACGCATCCAGCGGAACTGGAGTTTTCGCCCACTATGAGGCAGGCCAAAACAGCATGGGTTCGAGTCCTTGGCTAGTCGAAGTGTTATTGATTAATACCACTTGTTCGTGGGTACACTAATGTGTGTGTGTGTGTGTGTGTGTGTGTGTGTGTGTGTGTGTGTGTGTGTGTGTAAAAAATTGCGAACAAGCGATATATATTACTGGGGTAAGCTGTAGCTCTTGGTTCCACCTACCAACTTTAGACAGACCGGTGTTTACCAGGATTGTCACTTCCACTGTTTTAACCCTGTGTGTGGTGTATGTGGTGATCCACCAGTCTATTAGTATATGCAATTGAAAATATAATTGCATGTGTGTATTTAGCCAACCGTGTTTGTGTTGGGTCCGGAGTGTTTAACGAAGGTCACAACACACACACACACACACACACACACCACACACACACACACACACACACACACACACACACACACTCTAGGTGAGTACACAAAAGGAAGGAGTGAGAAATGGATGGAGGGAGGTAGGTAAAGAGGGAGGGAGGGAGGGAAGGAGGGAGAGATTGAGGGAGGGAGGGAGGGAAGGGGTGAGGGAGGGAGGGAGGGAGGGAAGGGGTGAGGGAGGGAGAGATGGGCAAGAAAGATTGGACGGGGTGTGGGCAAGAGGGAAATTAAAACATTAACGATAAGCTTATCCTTGAAGGCTTGACGTGCACTCAACCCTCAGGGTTTATCTCTATCCTGAGAGAGAGAGAGAGAGAGAGAGAGAGAGAGAGAGAGAGAGAGAGAGAGAGAGAGAGAGAGAGTAGAAGAGATTTAGCAATCAGCACACAAGTTAATACCCTGGGGGACAGAGTAAACTGTACCCTGACGTTGAAGAACCATGTGATGAATCTTGCAAGCGCGGCCGCCACGAAGTCAGAATAACAACATGATCTATCCTCCTAATGTACCACGTCAGCACATCACTGTGCCTGAGAACGTCAACTGTGTGACTGTGACACCACACAGTGACAATGCTGCTTATGGATTACAGTCTAATATAACCTAACCATACGTAGGGTATAAAGAATTGTTTTAAATTGTATGTAAGCCATGAACGTTTGATTTAGGAAGGCTAGTTGAAGCCTCGTTCTTATTTAACATTTTAGGTTACAAAGTTTTCACAGTGAGGTTTCAACACGACCTGATCCAGTGTGTGTATGATTTATAACGAGGAAAACATCATTCAACCCCTAAACAAGTGGTTTTCAATCATTTATCAAACTGCGGCAGGCCAGGGTTCGACCCCACGACACATTGTCCCGCCTCAACAGACAACCCACACGTGTCCAGGATCTTAATGTTATATACATCAATTTTCTTGTACATGAACGGTATGCAATACCGACAAGATAAACTTTGGCGAAACGTCTTCATTGTAGATGTTTCGCCAACCAGTGGCTTTATCTTCAACTCCAAGACTGGGGGATTGAATTCCTCATCTTTTTGTATATAATTCTACTGTCTCTCCATTATGTCCTTGAATTTGTACTGATAAAGTCACTGGTTGGCGAAACATCTACAATGACAACACCCAGATGCCGCACATGTGTTTAATTTTTACCAATTTTCTCATGGTTTCTCCACCTCTCTCCCTCGACAGCCTGGTGACAGCTATTGACTTTAACAATATGGACAGCCATCACGTTTCCAGTCGTCTGAACCTTTCCGAAGAACATAATCGATCATTTGACTCGCTTTTAAAACACTATTTTCAAAACAGCCATTTGAAAAACCCATTTAACTAGTCAAATACAAGACGAGGCTCCCAGCTGTCACACCCCCATCACTCTTACTATTAAATATATTATTAAATATACCTCCATAAAGTAACCATTGTTTACTGTTCAGTGTAGGACATACCCGTGAATTATTTGCAATAAAATAATTACTATGACCAGGCTTTGTAATGAGTTGAGGAATGATAATATAGTGGGTCTTACGAAATAAATTTAGAAAGCAGCGCGACTGTTATATAATAACTCTGAAATACTCTTGTGAGTTTTAGTGGCATCAATATAATTATTAAGAACTAGTTATTATGACTCAAGAAATCATACTAACACGAATGCAAAAAAAAAGAGAGCATGGGTGGGTTTTACGACTCACTGGCCAAGGGTTCTAGCCCCACCCGTACTGTGGTTTAACTGACATTATCAAATGAATTCAAAAACTGCCTGAAATTATGGAGAAATACGTCTTACTTAACTAAGACTGGACTTGCGTGAAACTGATAGCCAGAACGCTAAGTGTAAAATACCTGTGTAAGAATATATATATGCACTGAGAGGTGTAAGTCTCCAAAGGAATATATACTTAGAGCTTATTGTAATCTATATCTTAGGGATTAATATATTCTAGACTAGTCGTGTACAGGTTACGTGCAGCCTTAATGACCCTCGTGTAGTTGATAGATGCTAAATCAAATTAGCCAACCAACCAGTTTATTATTGCTATGTGAATCTTGTTAAGTTAGCGATTTTCGTGAATAACAACAATTATAACAATAATATAACAAAGTGAGTTACTTTGTACTTGATACAGAATAACATGAGACCTGAAGTACATTTTAAGTGCATGAACTCACTTGATAAAGGTGTGGAGTGAGCAGTGAGATGGGTGGGGATGCAGGGCTGCTCGTGAGTACACTAGACCAGGAGCTGTAGTCTGTCTCTGTGAAGGAAGAACACTTTAATCAGTCACTCTCCACCACCTGGCTCATCGTGAATTATTAGTTGATATCAAGGTATGTGATACAGACAAGCAGTGGGAAAACAAGACAGAAAATACGATCACTCTAACACATATTCAGGGATAATGTTTTGTTCATGGGACTTCGGTCACTCCAACTGTATATGTAGTCAGGATAACTAAACAAAAATGTAGTGGTTCTTGACCTGACTACCGTGCGTGGTGTTATGAGTGATGACACTTTACTGATCATGTGTGCCTTTTGTGGAGCTGTATATCAGTGGGGAAGCTTCCAAACAGCAGTCACTAGAGCTTCGGTCCGGCGAAGAATGCTTGTGCTTTGATCCAGTACACCAGATGTCCATGTGTGTCCCTGTGGATCACACACGCACTCCTAGAATCGTCCCTGTGCATGCCTATTTGTGTGTATTAATTCTGGTGAACAAATTCCTGTGTCTCCAATGTGTTTATCTTCACATTGACTACATGGGATTGTCTAGACATGGACGGTAGATTTAAGTTGGTATATTATGGTCCACCTTTTTCTTAGTTCTGTGATTAACATGGGAGTTATAGTTCCCACGTTGCTTGCAACCAGTGCATGTAAGCTAAGACTTCAGCTATGACAGCAGCCACTGCTCTCAGACACCACCACTGGTGCTGAGGGAGCTGACACCTCAACTATGACACCAGTCACAGCTCTCAGACACTACCACGGGTGCTGAGAGAGCTGACACCTCAGATGTTGTGTTGCTACACTGGTGCTTGGATGGACTATATACTTATTGGTGAAGTGCTCTTAGGTGCAGCGTTAAGGGTGGTCTTTGTTCTCTGTGATCTTGTACAAAGATGGCTGGGAGCTGATGTTTGGTAAATGTTTGCAGTATCTAGACGCACTCCTAGCGAGAAACAGGACTGAAAATCCAGAAAAGTTTAAAAAAAGAAAACTGTAGCTACCACCCATTTGGTGCGTGTATCGTACTGTGAGTAGCAGTGTATTTTATCATCTATTCTGGTAAGTTTTCTTGAGTACTCTGTACTCGAGTACTATCCTGGGAGCTTTGGAAGACATCCAGGAAGGGAAACTAAGCATCCCTCTCAAACTTCAGGATAAGCTTAACGGGGAGCTCCACTGTGTTGATGAGATCAAGGTACATGAATAACACACTGGCATTATATCCAAGGCTTTTTAATATACAAAATACCCTTGAGCAGGTCAACAACAGCGAAGCCGCCAATGGATACTGGGATATCGCCTCGGTTCCCGTCTCCAGTCAGAAGACCCCTCAAGGAAGGTTCCTTGATGTTGGTGAGGGGCTCTTGATTTAGGGAATTGGATCTGTGCTCCAGTTCCCCGAATTAAGCCTGAATGCCTTCCACATCCCCCCCCCAGGCGCTGTATAATCCTCCGGGTTTAGCGCTTCCCCCTTGATTATAATAATAATAATAATCCAGTCAGAAGACGTGATTCACTTAACGTTATTGGTTTTTATTTCGCTTAGCGAACCATTCCCTTCGGCCCCTATCTAGGACGTTAAGAGTGACGCTGATGATGGAGGGAGACACCCGCTTCCTGGATGTTCTCCTGCCTAACCCAGCTCAGCAGTCCACTCATAATGACTTCTTGGAGTTATCCTTGTTAATTTACACTTTGAATAATAATTGTACTTATGTATACCTGTACCTAAATAAACTTACTGAAAATGATATGACACAATGCTACTTACATCACACACACGTTGTATAATATATATATTGCATTTCTTTTTTTTTTTGCAAATGTTATTGAAAAAAGGGCACAAACTGTGAAGCCTTTTAACCTGTTATGCGATTTTGGATTGACTTTCGCAATGGCATTTACAAAAAAAAAAAAAAATCGCACTGTATAGATGAGCTTTGTATAATACACGAACAAATACACACCTCTCTGCGTATATACACGGAGCTTCAGTATATATACACTGAGAGCTCCACACCCCTCGGTGTACGTACACTAAAAAGATGTACATTTCTCGGTATATATACCCCGAGGGAATGGGTTACTATTTCTACCATGTAATTCATTCTCTCTCTCTCTCTCTCTCTCTCTTTCTCTCTCTCTTTCTCTCTCTCTCCCCTGATGTAATTGGCTGAGTTAAAAAGTGTAATTCCAGAAAGGTGGTAATTTTCTTGGAGTGGAATAAGTGGTACCACCTGGACTGGAACATGCGAGGGCGGTAGTGGTAGTAGTAGTGGTTGTGGTAATAGTGGTAGTTATGGTGGTAGGTGTGGTAGTAGTGACAGTTTTCCTATCCCTGGGTTGTAACCCGGATGTAATTATTGAGAAGAACACCATGTTACCCCTTTATTAATTCCGGGTTATATCCCGAAACTAATTTAAAGACAATAGTCACATGTTAAACCTCATTATTTCCGGGTTGCAAGACGGAAGTAATTAACGGAATATAACTACGTGTCATAGAGGTTGCAGTTAGAATGATAAATTCTCACTACAGGCAGCACACTCCACCAATATTCAATACACTAAACCTACTCACCATACAAAACATCCATACTTATTACTGCACCTACTACATACATAGAACACTTAACTCTGATATTAACCCTCCCCTCAAACATCTCCTTGCCAACCTCAACAGAACACATGACCATAACACAAGGCACAGATCACTCTTTGATGTTCCTCGTGTCCATCTCACACTATGCAAAAACTCAATGCACATAAAAGGCCCTAAAATCTGGAATTCATTACCTGTAAATATAAAAGAAACACTACCTGTTTATAAATTCAAGTCTCTTCTCAAAGATCACTTACTAACCCAAAACCAAATAAATACTGAATAACTGAACCTTATAAATTGTATATCTTAAATGTTTCTCACAATTATATCACATAAATGTTAAACCTAAAACCCAATCTAACTTTATTATTTTTTAAATACACTACCTAACAGAATACTCCATACGACTGAATGTACAACAATGTATGCAACCATATGACCTGTCTTTGTAATACTCACTTGTGCTTTATAGTTATCTGTTTACAATAATGTATTATCACTGATTTCATCATTGCTTAGTTAATTTTAAGCCAGCCCGAAATGCTATGCATAGTATAAGTGGCTTTGGCATGCGGCTCTTATCTGTATTTTTTTGTACCTCTGTATGTATGCTCAAATTGTTAATAAATAAATAAATAGATCCCGTCCTGTACGGAATGTGAGGCAGATATACGACTGAAAACCCCCAGGGTGTTCGTTATATCCGGGAGGGCATAATAATAGAGTATGACGTGGATAATCGCAGCATTTTTTAATTTATTTCTGGCTTTATTGCCATTGTTTGGAATGTGAGTCGGAAGCAGTGAGAGTCAGGAGCAGCTGGTACAGTTCCTTTAGTTCTCTCTCTCTCTCTCTCTCTCTCTCTCTCTCTCTCTCTCTCTCTACATCTGCTTCTCCCATTATTTCTGTTTCACTGTTTATTCCACCACTGTTTCACTGTTCCACCACTGTTTCTCTGTTCCACCACTGTTTCAATGTTCCACCACTGTTTCAATGTTCCACCACTGTTTCACTGTTCCACCACTGTTTCACTTTTCCACCACTGTTTCACTGTTCCACCAGTTTCACTGTTCCACCACTGTTTCACTGTCTGTTCCACCACTGTTTCACTGTCTGTTCCACCACTGTTTCACTGTCTGTTCCACCACTGTTTCACTGTCTGTTCCACCACTGTTTCACTGTCTGTTCCACCACTGTTTCACTGTCTGTTCCACCACTGTTTCACTGTCTGTTCCACCACTGTTTCACTGTCTGTTCCACCACTGTTTCACTGTCTGTTCCACCACTGTTTCACTGTTCCACCACTCTGTTTCACTGTCTGTTCCACCACTGTCTTTTTCACTGTTCCACCTCTCGTCTCTTCTACCGGCTGTTCCACCTTTCGTTTGTTCCACTGTCTGTTCGACACTCTTTCATCATGTACAATATCCTCCACCAGAAGATGCAAGTTCGCAGCTCTCACGCTCACTCAAAGCTCCAGCTCCAGTTCCAAAAGGAACTTTTGAAGCTCTCTGACATCTCAATATGAGACTTTATAGGTCAAAGAGACAGTCCTGATGCATCAGTCACAATTAATATCCTTTTAGTCACTAATTACGAAATTTTACAAGGTTTAAGGGGTTATTAGTAAGCATGTAAGAAAGGTCTGTGGCTTGTGTATGTTGAGTAGAAGTTAGTAAGGTTAACTTTTTGTCTTAGGTGTTCATGAGAGAAAGATTTAACTGTTATCTTATGTGGGTGGTTGTTGTCTGCCATCCTACCTACCATACGAGGGTAGTACTTCCCTGGATGGTTGTTGTCTGCCACCTTACCTACCGTACGAGGGTAGTACCTCCCTGGGTGGTTGTTGTCTGCCAACCTACCTACTACACGAGGGTAGTACCTCCCTGGATGGTTGCTGTTTGCCAACCTACCTACCGCAACGAGGGTAGTACCTCCCTGGATGGTCATTGTCTGCCAGCTTACCTACTACACGAGGGTAGTACCTCCCTGGATGGTTGTCTGCCAGTCTACCTACTACACGAGGGTAGTACCTCCCTGGATGGTTGTCTGCCAGCTTACCTACTACACGAGGGTAGTACCTCCCTGGATGGTTGTTGTCTGCCAGCTTACCTACTACACGAGGGTAGTACCTCCCTGGATGGTTGTCTGCCAGCCTACCTACTACACGAGGGTAGTACCTCACTGGATGGTTGTCTGCCAGCCTTCCTACTACACGAGGGTAGTACCTCCCTGGATGGTTGTCTGCCAGCCTACTACACGAGGGTAGTACATCCCTGGATGGTTGTCTGCCAACCTACCTACTACACGAGGCTGACGTGTAGTAGGAAGTAATGTATGTGTGTGTGTGTGCACGCACGCGCAAAAACAAACACACACACACACACGCACACACCACACCACACACACACACATACAACAC